TTTCTTTTTGACACCTTAAGTGATTTTGGATTTGGTGATAGTTTTATTTCAAAGATACAACTGTTGCATACAGGAGCAACATGCATGATTAAAGTTGCTGGTGGTATAAAGGGCACCTATGGTGAAAAATCTACTTTTCAAGCTTGGACAGACATGTGTGCAAGTATAGTGTATTAACCGTCATATTGGGGCTATATAAACACACACTGTCTTTTTTTTTTCAATTTAACAACAAAAAAAGGTGGACCAATTGGAGTGGTTTTCAGACCGACCGCAACTTTACGTAGAAGTGCAGTTCCCCCGCCCACCAATATTGATTGACAGCCTCGCGTAACAATCATATCCTCAGTTACTTGTTGCACGTCCGCCATTTTCAGCGTGTGAGTCAAATCGATATCATTAAAGGAACACCCTTGCTCTATTTTTTTTATGAAAAGCTCATTCAAGGCTCAACACAAGATCAATATTATCTACATTATCGCTCTAATTAGATTTATTGCTTGTACCTTTTGCGTGGCGCAGCGCCATGCATTGCGGAGTTCTAGGCGTGGGTTTCTGTCGGGGTGCACGCGGCAGAGCTTCTGGTCAGCGGCTCGCAACTGCGTGGGTTTCTGTTGCGGTGCACGCGGCGGAGCTTCAGGTCAGCGGCTCAGCGCGAGTTTCTGTCGTGGTGCATGCGGCGGAGCTTTAGGTCAGCGGCTCGGCACGGGTTTCTGTCGCAGTGCACGCGGCGGAGCTCCGGGTCAGCGGCTCGGCGCCATTGTGTTTGCCCTGGTAGAGGCTTGTGTTTGGAGTTCTGGAATGCTTGGCGCAACAATTCGGGACACTTCATGTTTCAAAGACACAAATGATTTTGTACTCTCTGCTTGGACGGCTGAATGCTCATCCTAGCTCAGCTTAGCTCTCTCTCTGTCTTTCAGCCTGTCTGTTGCAAACACAGAGCGTGGGAGATCTTGGCTCCGCCCCCTTGTTACGTTGGGCAGGAAGCCGAAACTGTGAAGAAACACGCCCCTAAAACAGCAAACTGTGTAAACGCCCCCAACATGACACTTTTTAACACATTATAATAAAAACAACTGTGTGTTGAACTGAACCTAAACTGGCACACTCAGAACAACCATAATATTAATATTAAATCATAAAAAAGGGTAAACTATGTGCCCTTTAAGTGTTCCGGTAAAGGTACAAAGGGAAATAAGACAGGGGTGTCCTCTCTCTGGCCATCTCTACAGCCTGGCCATTGAGCCGTTGCTCTGTAAACTGAGAGAAAAAACTGACAGGACTACAGATTTAAACATTAGATTTTAAATCTACTGTTAAACTTTCTACATACAGATGATGTCAGTTTTAATCAGAACTAATGATAATGTTCGGGTTTTAAAGGAAGTTCATTGGCTGCAGACCGCCAGAGGGCATTACAGAGTGGATTCCTTTCTGTCCTTCCCCTTGTCGAGAACCTAATAACAAAGTTGTCACCCCCGTGACCTTAATGACATGTCCGTCTTTAAATACCTCATTCTACGTCATTACTTCCTCTTTCGTCTTCTTGTCTAGATGTCAGAACCTAACGGTGTCAGTGCCACCAGCTGTATGCTTTAAAGAAAAAAAAAATCGGTAAGTAAAAAAAAAGAAAAAGAAAAAGGATGAGGTTTCCATTACCTACCTGATTCCAGGATGTCGGCACTATGCTTCTCTTGCTTTGGCCAGATGGATCTAGGTGACGGGCACGATCAATGTCTGAGCTCCCAGGGAATCGAGCATCTCAGGGAAGCTCTAGATAGAAGATCCGGGTATTAATTGCAGCGTTTTACCCCTAGCAGTACGACGCTCGTCTAGCATGGGCTAATATTAAAGAGGAAAGAAGAAAACGGAAGTCATCACAGCCGGTTTCCACTCTCTGGCCAAAAGAAAAGGAAAAAAAAGAATTAGCTCATAGAGTGGATGAGATAGCTGAAGGCATAGGTGAAGTTCAGGAATTTCTGGCAAAACTTCAACCTCAGCCAGCTTTTGGGATTTCCAAAGCAGGTAGTGAAGAAACGACAGTTCAGTCTCTCTTGCAGCCTGTCGCATCTTTTACTGGATCCCTTTCTGGATGACCTTGACTGCGTTTCTGTCACAGCTACAGACTCACTGTTTTTAGAGGAACAATCCCTGGCCAAAAAAAAAAACAATGGCCAGCAGTAGCGTCTTTAATCGTACAGCCACACAAGCGCTAAGACAAGATCCGAGGTGTCCAAATATGGAATGCAGATGCACAGATAATTTGATAGGGAAAATATATAACTCCACTGGGTGCTTGGGAAAGACTGCCAACACGCTGGTACACCTGTTATTGGCAATCAAGGCTTCAGTCAGCTCATCAGACGATTCTCTCATAGACATGGTTAATGTAGCCCTGAGATCGGTAGGTTCAATAGCAGGTCACTGCGGTAAAGCCATGAGACTGCTGGTCCAAGCCCGGGGCCAGATTTGGGTTGCTCAGTTGCCCTTGTCAGAATCTTGCAGAACCACCTTGCCAGCTACCTCTGGTTCCAGGCCAAATATTTGATCCAGCTGCACAGGAGGCTCTGGAATGTACATACTTAGCTTTAGAAGCACGGTGTCAGCAGCTGGCTGAGTTTAAGGCACCTGGCTATTAGCCCTATTCTTTCCGCTGGGGTGCATTTCCCTCGCACCACCAACGAATCGTACGTGAACCACCACCACTACCGCAGAATAGGTTCTATAGGGTCCAACAATCTCAACCTTATATGCCAGCAAACAGACCATACTGCCTTAGAAATACAGTGGCTTCTGATACTCGCCTCCCCAAAGACACAAAAACAACTTGCAGACAGCGCTGACTCGTCAGGGCCGGCAGCAAACAAATTTATGGTGTGGCAGATTCAATATTGGCATTCGATAACAAGAAATCAGTGGGTTTTAAACACAATTTCCCATGGTTACAATCTGGAGTTTCGCCGCCGGCCCGTCTTAAACACAGAAGTTTGTCCGTCTTTCACAACAAACACAACATCCTAGTCAAGGAAATTCAAATGTTACTCGCAAAAACGCAATAGAGGAAATAAAACCACCGGCTGCAACACAGGTTTTTTTTTCCATCTACTTCCTAACTCTCTAAAAAGAAGGGGGCTTTCACCCTACCCTAGACTTTAGGAATATGAGCAAAAAATTTTTTTTTTAATTTCTACCGTTTCTTATGCTCCCCCAGATAGCAAAATACACTCGGGCCAGATCCGGCTAGATTCCCGCCTGCCGGTATGCCTGTGGACTCACTGCCCGATTCTGGCCCGAATCAATCGGGCCAGATGCGGCGGCCGTAAGCGAACCGACACTGCCGCATCTGTGCCGGAATCGGCCCGAGAGTAATGTCTGCTGCGGCCCGGAGCTGGCGCGACTCAGTATTTATATACCTTTTTTATATACCTTTATATTACAACCCTTTGAGTTGTAGCAGCAAACGCAGGCTATAATGTAAACACAAAGTGTAGGCACTGCATTTAACCTTTGAATAAAATTCAAACAGCATATATATCCTATGACAAAAATAATCAAAGGACAAAATAAATAAATGATAAACGTTTATTGATTGCAAGAAACAAATAATACTAAAATTGAATAAATTATTTTGTAGTGCACAAGAACATCAATATAAAAACAATAAAACTACACAATTAAGACACACAGAAAGATTCAAAGAAAACTAAAACTGCACAGTGAACACATACACAAGTGTTTAAAACAACACTATTTTCCCAATAGACTTGAATTAAAAAAATTGTACAAGACACATCTTAAAACAGCTACATTTTATAGAATCATGAATATAGAAACCAATTTAAGACATAGCAAGAAACATCTTACAAATACCTGATAATACATAAAATATTCAAGTCAAAATTGTAAAAAGAACTGTTGAATTCTGAAGAAACATCTTGAAACATTTTTTAAATAAAACATTAAAATAATAATAATAAAGAAATATATAAATGTAAAATTGCAGAAGTATAAAGACCTCAACTTAATTTTTTAAATAAACTTGACCAGAAGAAATTGCACAAACAACAAGACATGAGTGAGAATTACATAAGTCATCACATAAGTACAACCTAAATGGGACTATATATAGATTTTTTTTGTTCCTCTGGTTAATGATTCAAAGAAATACAGAGATGGAACAGCCCCTAATTGTATTGAAATGTATATTTAAAACCAACTTACTGACTAGACAGTCCTAAGGGGGAGTGCACGAAAGGCCACATTTTGGTTTGCCCCGCTCCAGTTCATTTGTTTAGACAAGGAGTTAGCCAAAAGTTTTCCCAGGATACACCAAACTGCTTCCTTAATGAAAAACACCAATGATTCCAAAGTAGGCTACCTACGAAGCAAAAAATAAATAAATAAACAAATAAATAAATAAATAAACTTAAAACACTTTGAAATAAGCAAGAGCTTGAACTTACCAGTTTCTTCATTTGTTCGGGCTGCTCCTTTAGTTGATTTTCAAGCTTTTCGATATCAAATTGGACAAAGGAAGGTCAAATGTGTTTACATCTGGAATTTCATCACATCTGTTTTGGTTTTGCTGTGAGAATCAGGCCCAGCTGCTGCTTTATGACGTCACATAATTTTAAAACTTCAGTCAGTCGTGCTAAAAAAGAAAAATAAGGAATCAGTATTAATCAACCTGTAGCTTATTCTCATACAACTTGTGTAAATACAACAGTGGGTTAGATACGGCTGATATTCTCTAGTTGATCTTTACTTTCTAGCTGCATTAAACTTTTACAAATTTAGAGATTCTTACAAAGACATGACGAGTTGCAACAAGTTCTGTTTGATCTCCAACTGTATGGAACAAGGACTGTAAATGTTCATGGCCATACTGGAATGTTCAGCATCCGTGCATCTTGATGGTGGTCTTAAGAATTCTAGTGGTGATGATACTTGTGGTGCTGCATCGATTCCTGAAATCTTCATATCTGCTTTTGTTTTTTTTCTCGAGCCTCCTTGTTTTAAATAATTTTTCTTCATCACTGTCACTATAGTTGTGCCTTATGTACCATGATCAGATACATTTACAAAACAAAACATCATTTTAGTATAGTGCCAGGGCCAAACCCGCAGGTTGTAATAGATCTATGAAATAATGTTGACAGTATGCGTTTAAAATAATTGCAAACAAACCTGTTTGTTTCTTTAGCTGTATGACGGGCAATCATCGGCGTCATCTGTATGCCAGTCAGACATCACAGTTGCTTTTGGATGTTTCTGTAATAAAACATCACATTGTTGTTAATCTCCCCCTAAGAAAAGTTAAAATTCTGAAATACTATCAAAGTTAATTAATGGCTATAATACCTATGCTGTAAATAATCAGGACCCTGAAGGTTGCACAAGATTTATTCAGAGATTCATGCAGTGACAGCCTTATGAATCTTAGACACAGATTTGTAAGATGGCTAAGCACATGCATGATTTCAGTTATGACTTGCATAAACTGACCTCTTCTGTGCCAAGCGTGTTTGATCTTGCTCAAGGATCTTGTTGTGGACTGTCAAAGAAACAAACATACAACATTTTATACAAATGTTTATCTTCACTAGAATCAATATAAACATTAATAATGACTATTCAGAAAAAGCTTGAAATATATTATACCCAATTAGCATAAGCCCAAAATTCTATTTAAAACCTAGACATTACTGGATGAATACAGAAGCTTTTGATTTACTTTGAGTCAGATGAAAGCCAATAACAGTAAATGTTCTAATCACTTTGTGACACAATGCACAAACCAGTTTATGAAACCAATAGGAAAGCAGATTAAGTCAATCAGTCATATTTCTTTAAAATAAGAAACGTTTTGGATCAGATAGTTGTAAGTTACTAAACACTGTTAACCTACCATTGTGGAAAATGTTTGATGATGATGATAGCTAATAACAATAAACCATTTCTGCCGTTTGTGAAGCAATTAGTAAAGTCTGAAAAGCTCAAGTATGTTGAGAATGTATCAGCAGTTTACAGTTTTTAACAGACTTTAAGCACCCAACTATAACATGCCTATTCACATGTTCATAAGAGTGTGCCATTGGCATTTTTTTGTCTCTGTGATGTGCTGCAAAATGACCTCACGAACCTTTGTTAAACAAGAATAATAAGACTTAACCGAAAAAATATTGTTACCTATTCATTCAAATCAGAATTTATAAGTGTCAATAACCAAAAAAAAAACCCCATCAAAATCTGCTTTCAGTTTTACATAGGCAAATTACAGTTTGAACATAAGATATAATTGATTCACATAGGCTAAGACACATTAATTAAAGCACATACTAATATATTTCTCTTAGATAATATAGAGAATAGTAAACAGTATAGAGGTAAAGTTGGTTTTATATTCACACATTCGTTCATTTAGCAGTCTATATATTGTTTACTATGTTACTTTGAATATTCGATCGAAATTAGCATGCAAGTGTGACTTGAAAACAACATTAACACTGTTTATTTGACTGTGAACAATGCTGTACTTTGATAGTCATTGGCTGCTTATATGATTTCCCTATTTAAAATGTGCAATGAATACTTTTCTGAAATTATATTATTATGGGGAATGTCTGAAAATCCGAATATAAAACCAACTTTACTTCTATGTAAACAGTGTCGAGTTTCGATCACTTTTCGTGATGCACTGCATAAACAAGTTAAACAATAATATTGTATGAATCCAAAACGATTCAGTTTTATTTACACAATCACATAATACTTTTGGATAAGTACACGCCTGTAAATTTATTTTTTTTCAACACTCGCGGTACTTTATAATGTTTAGTTAACTCAGAAGTTAAAAGCACATGTTAATGTTAACAGATTCTTCTACAGAAACTAGCATACACACCAATTCGTTTTTAGTCATGTTTCTTTAAAATAATTATTTAAATAGTAAATAGTAAATAGTTTCAACCTAACAAAGGAACAGGCACTTTCTCCCGTTTGTATAGCAATTAGCTTCAGTCGTGTTTCTTTACAACAAGTTGCATTTCGTATGAAATCGTTTTAATATACTACACACTGTTACAACCTAACACTGTGAAAAATGTTTTAAGCAATAAATTTGCATAGTATACATGATACAAACAGTAAAAACCTTACCTTTCTGACAGGAATCCAATGTTAAGAACAAACTTCTTTTTCTTCTTGTAATCTTCGTGGCGGTTGGCAACCTGCTTTTTGGAGCATTACCGCCACCACCTGGATTGGAGTTTGGATCAGGAGTTTTTACGGTTGTCATTAGTTAAACAAGCCGAGTCCATGCCGAGTCCATGCTGAGTCCTTGCCAGAAGCGGCCCGGACTCTACAGACAGACTCGGGCCAGATGTGGTTGACCGGAATTGGGCCAGTGCTTAACAGCCGCATCCCAAATGCATGTGCGGGAGCGAGCTGCGGGCCAGACTTGGCCCGGATAGTACTTGCCGATGCCGAGTCGGAGGCGCCGAGTCGGAGCCGAGCTCGGGCCAATTACTACCTGCTATCTGGGCCGGTTAACCGATGTCCTGTGTACAATCAAGCCTCAAGATTGGATGGCAAAGATGGACTAAAAGACCCATATTTGCACATTCCAATCGCGCGTCATCATCATCGCTTTCTAAGATTCCATTTCGAAGGGAAGACCCATCAGTTCAAAGTGCTTCCGTTCGGTCTCTCCATAGCTCCAAGGGTGTTCGCGAAGGTGAACAAGGCCACACTATCTCCCTTACAAAAGTTCTTATTGGGGAAAGCAAAGATGCCACATTGGCTGTCAAGGAAACATAAAATAAATGATAAGGGTTCAACTGATGCTTTTTTAATATCAAAATGATTAGTAAAATCTCGCATTATTGCAGAGTATGGTTTTTATAAAATGGTAAATGATCTGGCAATGTTTAATCACAAATGTGGTGTAAATCAGTGTATTTGTCATGCTGACTCTGAAAATGTTCTAAATATTTACTTGTAAGTATCAGTAGTTTAAAAAGAAACAAATGCTTTGTTTTTTAATAAGTAATGTAAATTTTAATTAGCTAATTGCTTTAGCTAATTGTTTTTGTAATAAAGAGACCTTAAAAGTCAAAAAAGTCTCTCTCTCTCTCTTTCTCGCTCACACACACTAACACACACTCACATTGACAATGTGTTACATTCAATGTAATAGCAATTTCGCAGTTATTCCCAGTTCTAATTATTATTCTTATGTTTAAATAAAAATTACATTTTAAAATTATGAATCCTTCATTACGTCTGTAGTCTCAGTTAGTCACATCGTTTCAAGAAGACATTTAGCTAGGCTGTTTACATTTACATTTAGTCATTTAGCAGACGCTTTTATCCAAAGCGACTTACAAATGAGGACAAGGAAGCAATTTACACAACTATAAGAGCAACAATGAATAAGTGCTATAGGCAAGTTTCAGGTCTGTAAAGTCTAAGAAGGAAAGCATTGGTAATTTTTTTTTTTGGGTACAGTTAGTGGTATATCCAGAGAGGCAATTGCAGATAAGGAAGTGAAGTGGAGACTAAATAGTTGAGTTTTTAGTCGTTTCTTGAAAACAGCGAGTGACTCTGCCTTTCTGATGCAGTTAGGGAGTTTATTCCACCAACTGGGTAGATTGAGCGTGAGCGTTCGCGAAAGTGATTTCTTCCCTCTTTGGGATGGAACCACGAGGCGACGTTCATTCGCAGAACGCAAGTTTCTGGAGGGCACATAAATCTGCAGAAGTGAGAGCAGATAAGAAGGAGCAAAGCCAGAAGTCGCTTTGTAGGCAAACATCAGAGCTTTGAATTTGAAGCGAGCAGCAACTGGCAGCTAGTGCAAACGGACTAGCAGCGGAGTGACATGTGCTCTTTTAGGTTCATTAAAGACCACTCGTGCTGCTGCGTTCTGGAGCAGCTGAAGAGGCTTGATAGAGTTAGCTGGAAGCCCAGCTAGTAGAGAGTGGCAGTAATCCAGTTTGGAGAGAACAAGAGCTTGAACAAGGAGTTGAGCTGCATGTTCAGATAAGAAGGGTCGGATCTTTCTGATGTTAAAGAGTGCGAATCTGCACGATCGAGCAGTTCTAGAAATGTGGTCAGAGAAGTTTAGTTGGTCATCAATTGTTACTCCAAGGCTTTTCACCATTTTACATGCAGTAATGATTGCCCCATCCATCTGGATTGAAAAGTTATGGTGTAGAGTCGAGTTGGCAGCAACTACAAGCATTTCTGTTTTTGCGAGGTTAAGCTGAAGATGATGATCTTTCATCCAGTGTGAAATGTCCAACAGGCAGGCTGAGATGCGAGCTGGAACCGAGGGATCATCAGGATGAAAAGAGAGGTATAGCTGGGTATTATCAGCATAGCAGTGGTAGGAGAATCTGTTAATAACGAATGGCATAAATAAATATTATCAGACCCCGCTAACATTTCACGTTTATTATCCTGTCACAGACAGATTTTTGTCTAATTTGTAGAAGACTGGAATTTTTGTAGGCCTATACAAAAATGTGATGTGTATGGATTATATCTGTCTATCTTTCTATTAGCTTTATACAAGTGTGTGCTTATATATATATATATATATATATACACTTTTTAACTATGAATTAGCTACTGAATTTACTATGAATTATTATTATCATTATTATTTATAATATTTATATTATTATTATCATTATCAAGTAACACTTTTTGGTTTTGGTGAAATAAAAAACGAAGTATTAGGGTTAGACAAAACATTTGTTTTTTACCAACAAAACACAAGCCTCTCCTACAAATAAGCACTGAAAGTATTATTGCTGGATCTATGGTTTCTGTGCAGTATTGCCAAAGGTGCCAGGAGTAAAAATGTTACTATTTACCCCACCTGCGGGGCAAGTTGTAACAGGCAGAGGGTTAGTTGTTACACATGCTTAAAAGGGCAGAATAAACACAATTAATGCAAATTTCGTTTACTTTAAATAGTAGCTATATTTCCTCAGTACCTAGCTCAATTTATTTTTTATTCTACATAACACAGTAAGTTTATTTATTTATTGGATAAACACATTTGGATTTATTTGGACTATTATCCATTATTATACAATTTCACTGCGGTGAAAACCTCAGAAGCATGCCAAGGTTAACCCTGAGCAGATACCTCAAAATTTCATGTAAAAATTTAATCCCGCATTACATTGTGCCCCCTATTATTATTTAACCCTTATGATCCAATAATGTTTTGATTAATTGATATACATTTTAACATGTACTTTTTTTTTGAGTTTAAGAATTGCTTACAAGTATATTTTAATTGTTTAATTCATTAGATTTTTTATATAAACTTAGAATATATGCATAAGGCTCCGGGGACACAATAATAAATAGGACTTTTATTTTGGTGCTAATTATTGGTTACCCAATATCCTTTGCTATTGTTTTTTCATCCAGTCACAATTGATGATTTATTTGAAG